ATTTCAGAGAGTAGATTTCTCAACTTACCGGCTTCATATAAGGTTGTTACATTCCATGTAGCCACTTTATATGGATTCTTTCATTTTCATCGTATGTCTAGTGATGTTTTGCTCACAGGGATTTCGCTGACTAGCGACCTGGGAAGCCCTGTGGTTAGATTGTGTATTCCTTCCCCTGCCGGATCTTGAGTTCCGCAGCCCATGATCAGTAATATTCGTTACACTCATTGATTCCATGATAACTTTACTAGGGATCATAATGGGGTGGTTTCCCTTTGCCTTCCCCATCGCAGTATCACAGCCGCTTAACTCATAATGTTATTGACGCCTGTGAGTATCTGGAATTAAGCCTACAGGATTTTGACTTCCCACAGCCTTAATCCAGTAATGACATTACTGCTGCCTAATGTCATATCCTCAGTTGATCCGCGTGTACTTATTTGGCAATGTCTTATTCGTACATGTCCTGCATATCTGCAGGAACTTCAGCAGTCTGTCTTCCGTGAAGTACAGAAGAGCCCCTACTCAGTTCAGAGCTCCTCCTCCACGAAAGCTGAGACCGGACACGAAAAAGAATCCAGTACAACTGGCTTAACATCCAGTATAACTGGCTATTAAAAAAATGAAATAATCTATAACAACTTACCAAAGGAACCAAAACACCAGTCGGGCCAACCAGGTTAGAATTGATCGATTACTTTTAGGTCATATACGAGTAAAATACGTATTTATTTGACGGAAGGAATCAACTGATGTGTGGTAGATGTAAGACAACTCTAAATGATTAAACTGTGCAAAATTTATCCAAGCAAAATCCAGCAATAATATAATATTTTCGACATTATTAGACGAAAACCGTTACTGTAAAATTGTAAACAATATTGTTAATTCTTTGTCAATGTTTATTATTATTATTATTTACAATAGATTTGAGCAGGGGTTGCAAAACCCATATGCCCATGTGACTACAATGTTATATAGTGTACAATTAAATTGTTACATTACAGTAGTTACATATTAAACACTAACTAACTAAATGAATATACAATAACATAGGTAATAGCAAGTGTTTAGTACAAATTAAATGTTCAACTATGGAACAAAAGGTCATCCAGTTTATTTTTGAAAATATTGACAGATGGAGCATCTATGATCTCAGCCGGAAGGCTATTCCATATCGAGAACACTCGATTACAGAGAAAAAATTGTCTGGTTGTTGTTAAAAAAGTTTCCTTTTTAAGCTTAAGTTTGTGGCCACGAAGACGATTGTCATTGTCTATTATGAACATATTCCCCAAATTTCCAAAGTTGTATTTTACTATCCGAAACGTAATAATTAAATCGCCTCGAAGTCGACGTTGTTCAAATGTAGTGAGATTGGCCATATTCAGTCTTTCTGTATACGTAGGTCTTGAGCGACCAAAAGACATCCTGGTGCACTGCCGCTGTACGTTTTCGAGAATATTACGATCGCGCACTAATACTGGACACCAAACAGTTCCGCAATATTCCAGAACTGGACGAATGTACAGTTTATACAGATGAATTGAGCTCATAAATGACATTTTCGCAAACGTTTTATTTAGTAGATATAATTTACTGTTAGCTTTTTTAGAAATATGCAAAATGTGTTCCGACCAACTTAGATTGTTATTAATTATAACGCCTAGATCATTATGCGATTTCACTGTTTTTAACACGCGCCCATTAATAGAGTAAGGAAGACACGGATTATTTTTACCCATGTGAAGAACTACACATTTTTCCACATTAAGAGGCAGCATCCAGGTAGAGCACCATTCCGATATGCAATCAAGGTCATCTTGTAGTAACTGGAAATTTACGGAGGGATCGGAAAATAGCTTCGTGTCATCTGCATAGAAAGCATTGTTGCATTTAATATGAAATTGTAGATCACTTGAGTATGCTATGAATAAGAGTGGGCCCAAAACTGATCCTTGCGGTACCCCACTTAAAACCGTTCTCTCAACTGAGAAAGAGTCCCCAACTCTAACACAAAATTTTCTATCGGTTAAATACGCGTCGATCCATTTCAGTAGTTGACCACGGATACCAAGGTGTTCCAATTTATGTAATAGTCTTCGTTTTGGAACTCTATCGAAAGCTTTAGCAAAATCGAGGTATATAATGTCCACCGGGGCTTTTCTGTCTAATGCTCTTGACCATTCATTGACACACCAGAGAAGATTTGTCATTGTAGAACGTCCTTTGACAAAACCATGCTGCTGTTCTGGTATAACCAGTTCATTTTGCAGAAAATCAGAAATTGTCTCGGCAATAATAGTTTCCATTATCTTAGATATTATAGGTGTTAAGCTGATAGGACGATAGTTATTAGGATCCAGTTTGTTCCCTTTTTTAAAGATCGGTGTTACAGATGCGGTTTTCCATATAGGAGGCAAAATATGTGTGGTGAATGATAGGGACATAATCACATATAGTGGATAAGCTAAAGCATCAGAACATTTCTTTAAAAATAAAGAAGATATTAAGTCGAGACCAGGAGACGAATTATTTTTTAGGCTTTGAAGATGATGTTTAACTTTTTCAGGAGTAATGATTATATTTTCAAGAGAAGAAGAAACTCGTGACGAAGTAATATTAGGGAACTGATAATTAGTGGGTTCAACAGAGAAAACCTTGGAGAAAGTACTGGCGAGAAGTTCGGCATTCTCATAGTTATTTTGGGATATATCCCCCTTATCATTTTCCAGTAAAGGTATAGAAACTTTTGTTGTCAACGAAGATCTAATATACTTGTGCAATTTTTTACAGTTATTACTGGTGGCTATACTCTCTTCGTAGGCAACACGAGCTTCATGTAAAGATTTCTTTAAATCTTTGGCAAAGTCTCGATGAATTTGTAAATCCTCTATGCAATTTGTACGTCTATATTTGTTCCACAACTTTCTTTTATACTTGATCAGATATATTAATTCCCCATTAATCCAAGGTTTTATGTTATTTTTGTATATGGTTTTTTTGAGGGTATTTTGGTTTTTGCATAAATTAACAACCTGTAAGAACTTATCCCAGAATACAACTGGATTCCTTATGTCGCCGAAAACATCATTCCAATCAATGTCGGTCAGTTGGCGATTTGCATTTTCAAAATCAATTATTTCATATACCGTTTTATTAACATTAGGATTAGGAGTACAGTACTGTAAGTTAAACTGAATATGAAACGTTATGACTGCATGATCTGAGTTACCTACTGGAGAGCTTATTAAGGGATGTGTTAATAAATGGGGATCATTAGAGAATACCAAGTCCAAAATAGATGGTAAATTATTGATTCTGAAACGAGTCGGCTCCGTTATGAATTGATGTAAATTAGAATTTAGTACAAAATCTGTAAATGCGTTTTTGGAAGTTGTTAAGCCACTAGGTGGATCAGTTATAGGCCACGAAATGTCTCTAAAATTAAAGTCTCCAATAACAATTAAATTCTCTAGCCTAGACAGTTCATCAAGTGATGCGATAAGGGACTCATCATCTGCTAATCTAGAATCACCAGGCCGATAAACGCATACTAGGTGAAAAACAAAAGAGTTTTTATGACATATTTTTAAGCCAAGAAGTTCCATATTAGGGACAGTAATATCAAGAGATGTAACAGAGAAATTATTAGTAATTTCTGAAGACAAGTAGATACAAGTTCCTCCTCCACGCCGATTACGACGATCACACCTATAAAGGGAATAATTATCAATGTTATAAAGGGAGTCAGGATCATTTGGTGTTAACCATGTTTCAGTGATAAGAATTAGTTGAGGATTTAGGATTTGAATGTTGCATAAAAATTCATTAAATTTGGAATTTAAAGTAGCTAGATTAGTATAGAAACAGAGCCAATTATGAAAACCTGAAATATCAGAATTAGTGACGAAAGTTTACAATTTTCGGGACACCTTGTATATATTTTATGGTTAAATTTTCCTCTCCATTCGATTTTCTCTGTTCCAGTTCCACTCGAAGTTCTTTTAGGCATTCTATTTGATTTGGAGTCTTATCGTCGATAATGGAAACGTTTTTTAAAGAGACGTTTTGTAAAAGTTTCTTTTTGTTCTTCAAAATATGTTTGGCTTCATGTTCATTTTGCATAATGACCTTTATCATCCTAGGGAAGCGATTGTTTGGTTTTCCAGTCCTGAAAAATGTGACAGGAGTGGAGTTAGACATTACAGTATCTAAAATATTTTTTAATATTCCATCATCGTGACTTTTCTTTGTTTCAATGTCTCCTGTAATTTCGGGTACACCCCTAACAAAAATATTCTTAGCCCGGTTAATGCGATCAACTGCTTCATTTGCTATGGTATCTGTAAATTTTGGAGATGAAGAATGATCCTCAATAGATAACTTGTTTTCGATCTGTAAAAGTCTTTCACTGATATCATTAGCTTTTTGGTCTATTAGATCAATTTTTGATTGAAGATTCTCTTTTAGATCTTTTAAGAGCGTCTTTAAATTAGCAAAGTTTTCGATATTAGAGCAGCAGTTGTTGCAAAGAATTTTAATTCCGCGTAGCTTATGCCTAGTAACGCGATCTTCAGCTCGTAGATCAGTGCAAGCTAAATGTATGTTCTGTTTACATGCTTCACATTGAAGTTGTTTTGATGATTCTCGATCATCGATTGACTTTGAACAGTTAGCGCAGGTCGACATGGTGGGAACAGCAGAGCAGCAGTGGGAGTGAATCGCCGTAAATAGATATAAACAAAATAAAAAGACTGACCTTGCAATCTGTAGATAATCCAAAATACGGGATCTCTGATGCACTTTATGACGAAATAAAAACACCACTGGCAATAGAAAATTCTTATGTTTAAACTGATATAAAAATGATCGTTAAACTCAAACAATAACCAACTGTAGTTTGTAATAATTCACAGGGAAACGTAAATGATGCCACACATACTACTACTCTTAGTGCCTAGTGCCTAAGTGTTTTGTCAATTGTTTTTAATTTTTAGGTGGAAATGGTGACCCAAACAAAACGAAGTACAACAGTGATAGCAGTTCGTGATTCTGAATTGGCCAAGTTACCAGAGGGATTATTCAATGCGATAAAATTAAGATATCCAATAGTTGTTACCAGATTAATTAAATTGTTAGGCCATAGGATTCTAGGTGAGATTTTGTTCTAACAGTATATCGTTATATAGAAACAGTTTTGTAGTTTGCCTGTTCTTTGTTTTGTATTATATATGTATATATATATATATATATATATATTATATATATATATATATATATATATATATATATATATATATATATATATCAAACAACATAATTTGTTCCTAATCTTGAACATTTTAGAATCTTGACAAAGGCAAGGGGTTCCTGTCGAAACGTTGATTCCAATTAAGGGTCACTCGAAGAGTGGCGGGTTTTTCGGTCAAAAGTTGAAGAAAAAAGACAAAGATGTTTACTACTTCATCTATTTATTGAAAGTGTTTCGCTATCTAATTTGATAGCATCAAAAAAGAACAATATGAAAAACCTTACATCCAATGAAAAGTTATTAAGTGTGTTACCTCAAAAAGATATGTAGCAGTGAATGATATTAAAATTGTAAAAAAGCTTACAACAATTTTCATAAACTTAACACAGCAAAAGACATGTGGTAGTTGTACATGTATGTAAAAAATTTATGTAACAAATTATATAAAAACGCACAATTAATGTGCAGAAGAACTAAAAAATCTAAGATGCACTTCCAACTGTAAATCAATAGTTAAGAGTTAATTTCGACTTTAGGTAACATTATTAAAATGATAAATTAAAAATTTAGTAATGTAAAAGTATAATGAAGTTACCAACTACAACGCGTGACAGAACAACAAGGCGTATTACCATTGTTTAAATATGACTAGTTAGACAATCCTTATGGAACAAATGTTTGACTTTTAATCTGCCGTCATATGGCGGCCTCTAGTCAATAATCAAACAACATAATTTGTTCCTAATCTTGAACATTTTTAGAATCTTGACAAAGGCAAGGGTTTCCTGTCGAAACGTTGATTCCTGTCAACCAATATAAATTAAGGATCACTCGAAGAGTGGCGGGTTTTTCGGTCAAAAGTTGAAGAAAAAAGACAAAGATGTTTACTACTTCATCTATTTATTGAAAGCGTTTCGCTATCTAATTTGATAGCATAAAAAAAGAACAATATGAAAAACCTTACATCCAATGAAAAGTTATTAAGTGTGTTACCTCAAAAAGATATGTAGCAGTGAATGATATTAAAATTGTAAAAAAGCTTACAACAATTTTCATAAACTTAACACAGCAAAAGACATGTGGTAGTTGTACATGTATGTAAAAAATTTATGTAACAAATTATATAAAAACGCACAATTAATGTGCAGAAGAACTAAAAAATCTAAGATGCACTTCCAACTGTAAATCAATAGTTAAGATTTAATTTCGACTTTAGGTAACATTATTAAAATGATAAATTAAAAATTTAGTAATGTAAAAGTATAATGAAGTTACCACTACAAGCTTCTAGGCTGCTGCCGGTGAAATGAAGGCAATAGGTGTTATAACGCCACCAACGTGAAAAGACAGATGCCTTGAGGTCAACGCGTGACAAAACAACAAGGCGTATTACCATTGTTTAAATATGACTAGTTAGACAATCCTTATGGAACAAATGTTTGACTTTTAATCTGCCGTCATATGGCGGCCTCTAGTCATAAATTTTAAAAACTATTTACAGAAACTTAATTCTGTGCAGGATTCTACTCGAGTATATTTTTAGCTGTCTGATAACTAATGCAAACCTGTACACGGATGCCAGATTGTGAAGAATATATAAGACTTAAATAAAATGCTTATTGTTATTATCGTTGTATACGTCTTATGAAAGATAACTTGACAATTTCGAGCGAATATTTCAAATTGTTTTTATACTTTGAGACTTGATAAATCTAAATCGGTCAGTAATATATTTAAATGAAGTAGGTAAATGCTGCCTTTTTTTTTAATTTTATTAGTTTACCAGATATTTAATTTGGTTATATGATTTTTTAGAAAAGGATTAAATATTTAATTGAAGTATACTCGATTGCTATCGTCTTAGAACACTCATGCGGAGGTTTATTTTTTATTCAAGACTTAAGCCGGCCACTCACGATACAGCGGCGTTGTTGAACTTCGTCGAGTTCGACGAATTGACAAGGATTTTGATCGTGTGTGACCGTGCATCCAACGAAATCGTACAATTTGACCGCAGACAGACTGGCCTGTCTGCTGTAGTACTGCAGAGTTGATCTCGTCAATTTGTTGAGCGTGTGTGGCCGTTTACAATTTGTTGATACTGCAAAAATACAATTTTAACTACACACTTGCTTTGATCATATAGAAAATCGACATAGCTTGATTTAGTGAGAATTTTTTAAGAGTTTTTTGAATTATATAAAGAACAAGAATGTTTATGGCGAATTAAAGGTAAAACGTATCACGATAGAAACGCCCTAAAACGTGCAATGGACATTCTAATTTTAAAGTTCCAAGAAGTAAACAAAGATGCGAATGAAGAATATGTAACAAAAAAAAAATAACAATTTTAGAACATGCTGTAAAAGAGAATTAAAATTAGTATTGCAGTCAAGTAAATCAGCTGCAGAAACAGACGAGATTTATTTTGGACCAAAATCTTGCATTCTTTACACCAAAATCTGCTTTTCATTTTAGGTTTCTTTTTACGATTAGTTATACACAAAGCAAGAGACGCTAAAATGATTGTTTGATTTGACACGGTCGAGAACCAAACAAATACTGCGGCGCAGTGCGGTGTGTGGGTGCACCAGATATGCCAACAAATTGAACAACGCCGTTGTCCGATTTTGTCGAACGACATCGCTGGACCGTGAGTGGCCGGCTTTAAGTTTTATCTTTGTTTAAAAAAGAAAATCTTTTTAAACAATAGTTTTATGTATGTTTTGAGAAAATTAAATTTTTACCTTTTACTTTTAATCTTTATAATGACAATTGAAAATATAGTAAATTTATGGGAATGGTTTTTTGATAATGGTTTTGAAACAAATAAACAGATCGATATGCCACAACAAGAGGCAACACATATTTGGGGACAAATTAATCTATGTGTTGGGATAAAAGGAGTAATAATTAACAAAACTTTAACAAATAGTAGCCTATATTTTATTTATTTATGTATTTTATAATATACACACCATTTTTGTATTTCTGTTTACATAAATGAGAATGTTAGAATTACTTATTAATACAATAATTTTAAATTACAAAGTGATAGATATTGCAAAAATTAAATTCGCATTATTTTAATAGTTATATAAGACTTATCAAAATTCTAATATCTACACATAAACAATATTAACAAAATAATAATTAAAGGTAAAAAAAAACAAAACAAAATTGTGTACATTAATAGTAATAGAAATTGATTGTACCATTGTTTTCATGAACTAACATAAGCAATGTATGAGTTGGATATATGTATGAACCAGCAATACTAATTTAAAAATATTAGATTGTTTACAATACAGATACATACTTAATAATATGTTTGACTACAATGGTATCAACTCCAACAAACGTTATGCTAGCAAAGTATAATGAAATCACATTAAAATTACATAGACAACTATTAGCACAAAAATACTGTATAAAGATGAGAAACACTGAGTCAGACCTTTTAACAAATCTGGCATTATTAAACATTAAAAACTTAACTAACACATATTGGAAAATAAAAAGTGTATGATAATTATGAAATCTTTTTTTCGTGACCAATGATGATAACGGCCTATCTATAAGATCATCAACAAAATCGTCAAGTTCAGAATTATCACTTGCGAAACAGTATTGGCACTGGTTGATGGTTGTTTTGCTATCGAATACATTATGTAAAACGCGTGGTGTCATTAGCGAACCTTCCTCTTCTACCTCACTATATTTTTTTGGTATAGCAGTAGCGGGTAAATATTTTGCATTTAGATATTTTTGGTCAAAATGCTTACTGCATAGAAATTTTTCTTTTAACTCGGGTAGTTCCAGACTATAGTTCTAGTTCCAATATTATTATTAACACAACTGAAAAATAAGCAGCTTTCTGCACAATAAAGTAAAAAAAAAACAATTTAAGTTCTGTATTCAAAATATAAATAATTTGGCAGTATATTATTATTTGTATTTGACAATATATGTTTATCCATGAAGAAAGCTAAACTACCTGAGAAAAGGAATGCCAAACTTGTGTTATTGCGGGTATATAGTTATTATGTATGTATATATAGTTATATATATATATATATATATATATATATATATATATATATATATATATATGCATTTGCTACCCATACACCTCCGATTGCTACATCCTTAGTTCGAGTTTACCTCCGATTTTACGAGTTCGCCTCCGAAATCGGAGGTGAACACGTACACCCATGTTTCTTATGCATTTAGTTGCTAACTCGTCTGTATAAATCGTTTGACAAGTTTTTAACTAGAGGCAAAATCGAGTCAAAATCATCTCTAGATATACATTTTAGTTCACCGTATCTGGCGTCAGAGGCGCAGCTTGTTATACGTATATACTCTGTCGTTAGCCAAAGGTAGCCGGCGCCTCCGATATATACGCTATGTTCAGCGGTTCACTTCACCTCTTATCTGTGGCAACATTGCAATCATTTAAGGGCGTAATGTAGTCGGGACCTGATATACAATAATTATTATGAATAGCTAGTCATAAGAAACTGAAACGCTAATGTTTATTGTTTTACTATTCCGCACAGTGATAGAAAATTTCATGCAAGTATGCATTTGAATAAATTCGTATAGTTACGGGGTAATCTTAAATTTATCAGATCCGAGGTACACATCTATTTTATCTATTTATAAAATGGTGTAAGTTTTCATGTCCGTGATTTAAATTAGAAAGTCTTAAAAGGAGAAGTTTTAATTTTTTCTCCGCGTACATTGCTTTATTAGTAATAGCACATACATTATTATGAAGCATACTTTTATTGTACTAAACGTACCTTAAAATTTTATATTTTATTAACATTGTTCTTATTCTTATTCCTTTATTTTGATGTTAATGTTGCTCATATTATGCGTACAGTTTTTTTAAACT